TGATGGGGACCATCATTAGGAGTAGCTGATATCCTTAATAAAAGAAAAATGCTATTTATTCATCTCCTTTACCCCTAATAACCTTTATATTTATAGAGCAAATGACTTTGAAGTTAGGTTAAAATTTAAGCGTATTCATCAGATGATAATTTGTATGCAATTGTTCATACTGTTGATTTTTTGTACATTTGTGATAATTTACATGTGGCTCTATTTGTGATCCAGGCTATGATTCACACATATATGTATCAGCTTATATTTTTTAAAGTTTGTAGACCAACAAATGCCTAGCCATGATCAGCAAAACATTTACAGTGCTATTTCCGATCTTAGCTGCCTTACTTAATGAGCTGGGGCTGTAGCAGGGGTTGATTGCTTTATTAAATGGCATTTTTATTTTTTTTTTTTTAATTTTTTTTTTCAACGTTTATTTATTTTTGGGACAGAGAGAGACAGAGCATGAACGGGGGAGGGGCAGAGAGAGAGGGAGACACAGAATCAGAAACAGGCTCCAGGCTCCGAGCCATCAGCCCAGAGCCTGACGCGGGGCTCGAACTCACGGACCGCGAGATCGTGACCTGGCTGAAGTCGGACGCTTAACCGACTGCGCCACCCAGGCGCCCCTAAATGGCATTTTTAGACGAAAGAAGTGAACTTGTTTAGTAAAGGAAATATTTGCACAGCGTATTTTGCTTGCGTTCATTCTCTTCCCATCTCTAGGTCCCTCCAGCTCCCCTAATGGTGTTTTTTTCCGGGACCTGAATCCCCGAGACTGAGTATACAGCTGAGAAGCCAACTTAGCAGAGTTGTGAGCATAAGATAGAGGATACTCAGGGGAATGTGCAAGGCCTGGGGAAGCCACCAGGAGCAGCAAGAGACCGTGGATCTAGAGGACTGGAAGCTCAGAGTAGATAAATGGATGAAAGTAGGCAGCAGGCAGAAGTCAGGACACAGGAGTACTGGTATGGTGGAAGTGATGTGAGAAGACAGCACTAAAGGAAAAAATAAGGAAAAGTCCAGGTCACGTGAGAAAGCATCTACAGAAACTGAGAGAACTGTGACACCATCTGGGCAGTGAACTTGAGGCATCAGTTCTTTGGCATTTCAACGCATGTTGTGCTGTAGCCGAGAAGCTTCTTAAGACATTCCCTGTCAGGTTAGGAACCAGGCCCTGGGTATGGGCCCTTAGAGACCACTCTTAAAAGCAGTTCGTGGGTGTGTCTGCCAGGAAGGGAAAGGGAGGTGGCCTGGGAGGGTCCTGACACCTAAGAAGAGAGGTTAAGGACATGTGTCAACACAGGCATAATTAACGCTTTGCTGAGCACTGTATATTCCATGACTCACAGGCCTTGGTGTAACACACCCTTTTCCAGGCAGTAACACCACCCGGCCAGGGCCGGGAATGAGTAAGGGCTCTTAACATGTCTGCTCCATTACAGATGATCAACAAACCTTCCGTCTCCATGGGTTATCATAGCTCTGTTCTTGAGTTTCTCTGCCCATTAACCAGTGTAGAGGAGCTTATACTATAAAGAGGGTAAAGATGCTTCAATTTAAAAGTGGCTAAGTAGTTTGTCTTCTGTATAAAAAACTCAGTTCTCTTTTCTAAGCTTTTTCACAGCAAAAAAAGTAAGTCTGTTTGCAAAGGAATACAGTGGAATAAATAATATGTGACGGTTAATTTATGAGAAAATGTGCTTCATGACTATGTAAATAGTTCTGCTATATATTACTTATATATATTTAGGTGTGTAACATACACTTACTTACATGCATGCATAGAGTATAAATACATATACACGTGTATAAATTTATATTGCTTAGGAATTTCTGAGAATTAGGAGATTTTCAATTATTAATTGCTTTTAACTCAGTGTTTTGGTTTTTCTTTTTTTAAAGTTTAGTTTTTGAGAAAGAATGAGCAGGGTTTGGGCAGAGAGAGAGGGGAACAGAGGCTCTGAAGCAGGCTATGTGCTGACAACAGAGAGCCTGATGTGGGGTTCACACCCACAAACTGAGACCATGACCTTAGCCAAAGTCAGATGCTTAACTGACTGAGCCACCCAGGTGCTCCAGTGTTTTGGTTTTTTAGAAAAGAGATTAGTGCAAAATTACTTTGTCTACTTTTATTTGTATTTATATTATGAAATTAGATCAATTTATAGGGGAGAAGAAGTAATTAACCTTAAAATCCCATTTGTATCTTTTCAGACTCACTTATGATCCTGTGTCTATTTGTCAATATATTTAGTTTTTAACTTAAATTATTTCATATATACATTTGCATGCAATGATATGTTTCACTTAGTGTTTATTTTTAATAATTTTATTGTATGGTGATGTAACATTTTGATTATAATTCTCTTATTGTTGACTGGGTCAATAATATTTTTATTTTTCATTATTGAAAATATCATTGGCATGAACATTTCTTAACGTATTATTTTTGGATTGTTTCCTTAGATTCTCCCCAAAGTGAGATTAACAAGTCAAAGGGCAGGGATAATTTTATAGCTTCTGATACAGATTGCCAAATTGTTTTCCAGAAAGATGGAGCTAATTTGCCCCACCACTAACAGTGTATAAAGCATAGGATCAATTTTAGACAGTTTAGACAGTCTGAGCACACATGAGAAGTGTAATTACATTTCTACCCTGAGGCCTACCTGTATAGATAGTTCTCATAAGTAAACTCAATATGTGGACTTTGAAATTATGGAACTGGGAGAAAGCGTGTTGCTGATTTATTCTTCAGAATGTGGAACCTTGAAGTTCGAGCTGTGGGGGCTTGAGAACATACGTGTTGAGGTGGAGGCCCCTTTTGGACAAGTGAGGTACTGTGGTCCCATGCTGGGAGATGTTGTCAAGGCCAGAGCAGAGGGAAAGGACAGCCAGATCCCAACATTTCTGCCAGTGAGGTAGTCAGGCCTCTGAGGAATTCTGGAGGACTTCTTGGAGGTTGGGGGCGGCTGGGGGATCTCTGGAGTCTGGCAGGGAGCGAAAGAGAGATGTCCGTCCAGTGGATGTGCTGGGGCTGAGTCATTAAGCCAGGTGCCACCTGGGTAGCTGCGAACCCAAGGCCTTTCTCATTGAAAATGTCAACTCAGGGGTGTTGCAGTGATTTTTTTTCTTTGTGACAGCATTATTCATTTCATAAAGAAGGTTGATAGAGATTCCAGATTCTGTAGAATTCTGTTCATTCTATGAGGATACACTTGCTTGGTCTATAAAGGCTCATTTGCCTTGTTTCTGACAGGAGAAAAACTTAGACCTTTCCTGGGGAAGTACATTTTTCTCATTTCTCATGCATGCTGACATAGCATTGTACTTTTGCCAGCTTCCCCAGTGACTTGCAAAAATTCTATAACCTAAATATAGAGCGTGTAACAGCACGTTATAGAACTGGGCCAGGAGGGTACTGCAAAAGACAAACATAATCCCCATAGCGTGCAGTTCAGAAAGGCAAAAAGGAACAAGTATAAATTCATTGCTAGGGTGCTGGGTTGTCTAAAAATTATTATTAGAATATGTATACATTTTAAGGGAAGTCAATTGAATGGATATTGTAGAAATTCCAAGTCATAAAGTTACATGGGAGTTGAGATAGGAAATTCTTTTAATTTCTAGGTCCTAAAGTAGAGGTAAGTACTGATGGGCAGAGAGAGGTAGGAAGCATTCAGTAGGCAGCAGTCGTAAGGGAGAAAAACACCAGGACATCGCATGACCTAATTGGGGATTTATTTATATTTTACTGTCAATAGATTTTTTTCTTTGCGGTGGTAAAACATATATAACAAAGATTGCCATCTTAGCCTTTTTAACTTTCTTATTTATTTATTTATTTATTTATTTATTTATTTATTTATTTATTTATTTTTGAGAGAGAGAAAGAGAGAGCACAAGTGGGAGAGGGTCAGAGACAGAGGGAGACACAGAATCATGAGCTGTCAGCACAGAGCCCAACGTGGGGCTCAAAGTCGTGAACCACAAGCTGAGCTGAAGTTGGACGCTTAACTGACTGAGCCACACAGCTGCCCCTCATCTTAACCTTTTTAAAATGCGTAGTTCAATGGCCTTGGCTACCTTCACAATGTTGTGCAACTGTCTCCGCTATTTCCAAAACTTTTTTTTATCACTTCAAACAGAAACTTGCTGCATTAGGGATTTACTTAGTAAATGGTTATCCCAGAACTTTTTCTGGTTTTAAAAAATGCAAAGTTCACACCTTCATTTTTTTAGTTTCATCATATGCCATATGCTAGGGGTGATTGTGCTAGGTATGTATCCCTTGTTCATCAGTTTCCTTTCATCCTTACTAACCTTGCATGCTTGGTGGGAGAATGTGTCCATCCAAGTAGAGGAGGGAGGGATGTTCAGTCGAGGGCGTGCGAAGGAGCCGTGTTTTCCTGTTGGAACCTCCAAATCTATTTGTAGAACATGGGTAGTCTTACTTATTTAATGTATTTTAAAATTAAAAAGTGATATTTTTGACAGTGCAGAAAAAAAGTGAAAATTTATCATCACTTTGAACACAAAAGTGATTATTATTTTTTCATATATATTTTTCGATCTTTTTTCATGTATGTTTTTGACATAGTTGATAATGATGTATCTGACTATATATAAAGACTTTATTTTTCATCTAATATATCACTTACAATTTTTCATTTTGCTCAGTAGTATTCATAATAGGCTCATGAACACAAGTAGCTTAATTTTTTAAACTATACTACTTTCTCTGACGTTTAGGTTGCCCAAATTTATAACGATTTTAAAGGAACATCTTCAAATGTCTGCTTTCTATAGTTTAACCACTTCATTTTATTCTTGTGAGAGAGAGAGAGAGAGAGAGAGAGAGAGACAAACACAGTGCTCATATTTATCTTGTTTTGGGCCATGGCTCCTGCATTTTCCATGAAAGATAAGGCGCAGTCAGGGGTGGTGTGTATTGTAATTATGGTAAACATGAGATGGATGACAAATGTTTGAATTGGTTACAGGTTGTGAAGATCTTAGAGAAGCACGACCCCTTGAAGAACACCCAGGCAAAATATGGATCCATCCCTCCAGATGAGGCCAGTGCCGTGCAGAATTATGTAGAACACATGCTCTTCTTGCTAATTGAAGAGCAAGCCAAGGATGCTGCGATGGGGCCGATTCTGGAATTTGTGGTCTCCGAGAACATCATGGAGAAACTCTTCCTTTGGAGCTTGCGGAGGGAATTTACTGATGAGACTAAAATCGAGCAGCTAAAGATGTACGAGATGTTGGTCACTCAGTCGCACCAGCCTCTGTTGCACCACAAGCCCATCCTGAAGCCCCTAATGATGTTGCTGAGCTCTTGTTCGGGAACAAGCACCCCTGCCGTGGAGGGGAAGCTGGTTGTCCTCCTCAATCAGCTTTGTTCCATCCTTGCCAAAGATCCATCTATTCTGGAACTCTTCTTCCACACTAGTGAGGACCAAGGGGCAGCCAACTTCCTCATCTTCTCCCTTCTGATTCCCTTCATTCACCGAGAGGGGACAGTGGGTCAGCAGGCCCGGGATGCTTTGCTTTTCATCATGTCTCTGTCTGCTGAGAACAGCATGGTGGCCAATCACATTGTGGAGAACACCTACTTTTGTCCAGTAAGTCCCTCTCGTTGGCATGCTTTCCACCCACTCCGCTTTCCCTCTCTCGTGCTAATGGTAAATACTTTTTTTTATACCTTTCTTTTCAGCAAGTTGTACTTGGCACCTTCTACGGAAAGATGTTGGGAGGAAATCTTTTGGAGGGAGCAATCTAAGTTGAAAAGCTATTTGGCTGAGCATTGTCAGCTCTAAATAAGCCAACAGAGGAAACTCTATGTGTTACCATTTCATGTTTCATTTCTGTTGGGTTAGGAACTGTTTTAGTTTTTTACTATGAACATATCCTGAGTGATTGGTAGAACGTGCACTTTCTATATTCTTAGCTTTTCAAGTTGATCTTGCACTGTAGAATCATGGCACGCTGTGAGACTGCTCAGCTGGTTTCACAGATCAGTTTATTTCTCAGCAAGATAATGATCAGATGATTATAGACACAAAGCACTGATTTTATTTATAAAAATAAATACGTATTTACAGTTTGAGGTAGCAAGAAACACTTCACTCTGTATAGCTTCGTGATCATCGACATGGTGACAAAGAAAGTGTGAGGTCCTTTGCAGGTGTTGGTGTAGCATAGATCCAATCGTGGTCACAGTTCCAGAAAATAATGGGAGCTGTCTGAGGCTCTTAAGATACCTTAGGGCTCTGATTAGTTTTTGGTGTTAGTGTTGTCTTTGGAAGGGGCATTTGAATGGCAAATTTATATCATCTGATTTGTCAGGGATGTTGGGCAACAGCTAATTTTATTTTCCCAACTCAGTAAACACTCCCAGTCTATTTCCATTGTCTGTTCTTTTTAAAAATTTTGTATTTTATTTTTTGAGAGAGGGACAGAGAGCACACACATGCATAAGTGGGGGAGGGGCAGAGGGAGAGAATCCTAAGCAGACTCCACGCTCAGTGTGGGGTGGGGCACAGGACTTGATCCCATGACCAAGAGATCATGACCTGAGGGGACGCTTAACTGACTGAGCCATCCAGGTGCTCCAATTGGTTGTTCTTCTTACAGTCACCTCATTATATTTCTTTATAAACTGTACTGTCTTAAGTATGCCTGATTCTGCTGGAATAGTAAGGCCATTAATGAGTTTTATTGAAATAGGCCAGGCAAGTTGCCATAAGTAGATTAGATTCATTATTAACGAACACTATATGAGTAGTTCTTGACTGGGGGGAGGGCAGTTAGGAATGTCTGTGGGGTGTCCTTTGTTGTCATAGGGACATGAGGTGGCTGTGGAGGGAGGTCAACTGGCATTTAGTGTTCAGAGGCCAAGGATGCTTAATGTCTGGTAGTTTGTGGAACAGTCTTGCACAGTAAAGAACCGACTTGCCCAAAATGCTAATAGCAACCCTAGTGAATAATATACTGTATTTTGCTTTGAGGTTCAAAAGCAATAATCTTTTTCATGCTACTAAATTTTTATTTTTACTAATAAACCAGGATCACCTAGTATGTGGTGAATATTTTGGGGCAAACAGATGGATAAAAATTTTGAAAATTAGAACTACAGTTCAGAAATTCAGGGTACCATGTGTCTCTTCTGGGTTCTGACCAGTAGAATTAGAAATTGTAGAAAGAGTGATAGTCAGATGGGAAGTAAGGAGCTGATTCCCTTCCATCTGTGCCAACACATTAAATCTCCCTTCCTTACTGCCTTCAACGGTGCGGTTTCTTGTAAACTCTTTTTAAAGAATATATTATCATCGGCAAAAATGGAACTTCTTACCTGAATCTAAGCACCTTTGAAATACATTGCTGTATTACTTTTTTATTTCTTCTGGTGTCTTTAAGCAACACAGATTCCTTATCTTACGGTAGTATTGGCTTACTGTAGGTTCGAAGTCCAGCAGGTGTCACTGGGCTAAAATGGAGATCTTGGCAGGGCTCCTGCCTTGGCAGCCTCCTTTCTGGAGGCTCTCGTGGTGAGTGCACTTCCCTGCCCTTTCCTGCTTCTAGAAGCCTCCCACACTCCTTGGCCTGTGGCCCCTTCCTCCACTTGTGCAGTCAGCAGTATTGTATCTTTCTGAACACCATTTTGTAGTCACGCCTCCCTCTTCTACTTTGAAGGAGCCTTGCAATTTACTCTGGGTTTACCTGGATTATCCAGGATGACCTCCTTATTTAACCATCAGCTGATGAGCAACCTTAATTCCCCTTTGCCATGTAACCTATTACATTCACAGGTTCAGGGATTAGAAGCGAACAGTGTGGGTGTGTGGGTGCGGGTGGGCATTAGTCTGCCTATCACATTTGCTCTATTCAGTTCAGAGAGCTCTTGAAGAAATTTGAGCAATAACACGGTAGAATCAGAATTCTTTTAGGAGTTTAAACTGGGTAAGATAGGTGAGTTTGCTCAAGATGGGGAGATGCTGAGGAGGTCGGGAGATACATTAGGGTCTAGAAACAAGAACGATAGGGATGAGAATGACAAAGAAGGGCTGGATATGAGCAATGCTGTGGAGGCAGAAGCTTACTAAAAATAGTTTTGTGAGGGACCTATACAGAGGTTTGGGTTTGGGCTTATTTGAATTGTTTTGGGTAGTTCTGTTAAAGAAGGAGCACAGCCATTGAAACAAATCATCAAAATATTCAGGTGGTTCTCCAGATCAGTATGCAAAAGGCAATTAAGAAAAGATATTATCTGCAAAAGCAAACAATTCTAAGGTATCTTGAATAAATCTAACAAATCTGTGAAAAGGGTTTTACAGAGAAAATTATAAAACTTTTTTAATCAGTATAAAAGAAGACCTAAATAAATGGAAAACTGTTTAGTTTGTAGATACCGTGTAGATGACACTTTCCTGAAAATCAGTCCATAAAGTTAATGCCACTTATGATTTACAACCTTTTATTATAAAAAAGGTAAAATACAGAAAACTTGGAAGAATACCGAAATGATCACCAAATACACACGACTTACATTCAAAATTGTTAATATTTATGTTTATCATCTGTTTTTTGTTTCTGCTGTACCATTTGGAATGAAGATATAGACATTTGGAATTAAGTTACAGACATTAAATACTTTAGTATGAATCTCCTATAAATAAGGACACTCTTCTGCATAACCACAAGACCTTTATTATACCTAAGAAAATTTTACACTAATTCCATCATAGGATCTAATAACCAATTTCTCAGTTATGCCTTGAGTGATTTTTGTAGGTTTTTTTTTTTCAAACTGGAGTCTGATACAAGGTACATCTCTGATTGTCATATCTTTTTTTTTTTTTT